GATGCTGGCATCTAGATCAATTTCCTGTGAGGTCAATTTCATATTAATAGAATGAAGATTTTTCTAAACATAAGAGACGCGTCGTAAACAGTTCTGTTTGGATTTAAAATGTTGAGTTCATGAATTTCAAGTAGTTAAGGTGTGTTTGTTTCGTCTCACTTTGCCATGAGACAGCCTGAGGAAAAAGCCAGAAGCAGAGTAATCCTTCAGAAAAGTTAAATGACCAAATTAGCAGTAAATTTCCATTAACTGCTAGCCTTTTCACGCCTCCACTGCTGCTTAATTCTTCTGTCTCTTCACAAGCATTTAAGTAAAGTAATGTTTATGAAAAGGAATCCCATACAAGTTGTTCAGGTGGCTACTTGCCTCTATTTCAATTAATACCACTTCATGTGATGCACCTGTTTTTGAGTGTCGGTAAGTACAAATGAAGGAGAAACAGTCAGTTTTTAAAGCAAGTGATTCTGTGCCCCTTTCATAACACAACAACTGTCGTTAGTGGACTTGAAAGGGAGCCGTGTTTCTCAGGATCTTCTTGAGTATTCAATTTGTCAAGCATATTGCTTTTGAAATACTTTGGCTGTATGCCATAGGATGTCCAAAGATGTTTTATGGTACAAATATCTTAATTCTTGAGGGGAAATAAGTGATTTTTTTCCCCCTGAGTTGAAGAAAGTTAAAAGCAAGCTTATTTTCTATCTATCCTTGCTGATACATAACAGAATCTTTATTTGCCAATAATCTTCTTGTTGTGGTTCATAATCTGTGTTTGATCAAAGACCCCTTTCAGAATCAATGAAAGCTATGAGCTTTCTCTATAAGAAAAATGCCCATAGCCCAGTTTGCATGCTGTTTTATAGTGTTCCCAGAGCCAAAGCTTGTTCATAAACCCTGGTGAAGAAACTTTGTTACGTCTGAGAATTCTGTGGATGTTACTGGTGATAAAAATCTTACCATTTTAATTTATATACACTATGTATCTTATAGTTTTCTTTTTCTTTTTTTTAAATGTTTATTTATTTCTGAGAGAGAGAGTGCATGCACGAGTGGGGGAGAGGCAGAGAGCGTCCCAAGCAGGCTCTGCACTGTCAGCACAGAGTCTGACACAGGGCTTGATCCCACGAACCATGAGATCATGACCTGAGCTGAAATCAAGTGTCGGGTTGTTCAACCGACTGAGCCACCCAGGAACCCCCCCATAGTTTTATTTTTCTTATATATTTGTAACACATAGCTACAACTTCTTCAGTGCATGTTTAATTATTTCTTCTTTATTAAGAAAGCCATTATACTATATTAGGAGATAATATCAAGTTACTATGCCCTATACCTACAGAATAGACTTACAGAAGAAAAATCAATAAAGTTGTATACTCAATACCATATTGCTAGATGAATACCCAGCTAATAAAATGTGACTGTAGGGTTATTGATTTTAGGAAAAAATAATTTTAGTAAGAGCCACAAGTGAGAGAATGAATTTTGATTTTCAGTAATCCCTCATTTGTTCTTTTTAAATCTTAGTTATAATATAGAGAAGTAACTGTGACAGTTAATGGGATTTGCAGGGTCACTTTGATGAGGTTGACCACCAGGAAAAGGTGGTACAATAACTGTGATTACACTTGAGTTTCTTAAATAGAACTATTGAAAGGGAATAACAGAACAGTGCAACCCTCTGTCTCCCAGGTGAAGGGACTCTGCTCCACAAGGCCCTTGTCATGCACAGAAAGGCAAGTCATTAACTCCTCTTCCATACATATTCCTTCATCCTATAGATTCCCTTCCTAGAAGTTCAACTTAAAAAAGTTGCCAGGGTTCCTGGGTGGCTCAGTCAGTTAAGCATCCGACTTCAGCTCAGGGCAGTATCTCACGGTTTGTGAGTTCGGCGGTTTGTGAGTTCGAGCCCTGCCGTCGGGCTCTATGCTGACAGCTCAGAGCCTAGAGCCTGCTTCAGATTCTGTGTCTCCCTCTCTCTCTGCCCCTCCCCTGCTAGTACTCTGTCTTTCTCTCTCTCTCAAAAATAAACATTAAAAAAATTAAAATTAAAAAAAAGTTACCACGCTTAGGAATCATGAATTTTCTGCTTCGTCTTGGTTCATGGCATCTTAATCTCCCAAGTCCAAGGAAAGAGGGGAAGACCCGGAATACCTTCCTGTTGGAAGCATCTTGATTTTCTTACTGTTGTGTACACAGCAGTGTTTGAAGAAGATGAAGGAGACAATAGAAAACTGTTGGCAGTCCTCAAATCTGGATCCCAAGATGCCACAGCCTTGTTATCTTATTTGACATCTGCTATTGTACAGCTCCTGCAAGCTCTTTTTCCTTGGAGGTCCTTGAAACCTGCAACTTACTTATACAGCTCAGAGATAGGTTCAGCCCATCCTGCGATGCTGCTATACTCAAAAACAACTTTGCTTTGAAAATTCTAAAATACCTTCCTTCATGTATATTTGAAACATCCAAAAATTGTTTTGTGTAGATTCTTTAAATTCATTTCCTCTTGGTTTTTATTTTATTGTGCCCACTTTACTTCCATCTATCTTTACTTTGTATCTGGTAATGACCTGAGCCCATCTCGGTAATGACTGAGAATTGGATGCTCAACCAACTGAGCCACCCAGGCATCCCTATTCCTTTGTATTTAATTTCATTTCAGTTGTTTTGCTTACTAATTACACCTTTTTGGTTTATTCCTGTAGTAAAAATAAAGCCCCAAATAAGGGACACTGAAATAGATAAGGAATAATTTTATATGTGATCAACAGTGTCTAAGAATTTAACAGATTTTTAAAGCAAAAAGAATACCTAAGGGTCATCCACTCTGATTCAGCTGTTGGCCCATGTCAGGGACCTGGGATTAGAATCCAAGTTTCTGTTTCTCCAGTTCAGTACTTTTTGATTATTGTCTATTGCCATTAATTATTCTTTCTGAACCTATTTAAGAACGTTACACAATTGAATTTGACATTTTAAAATAAAAACAATTTTTTTTCAGTCACTTTTTACCCTTCCTTCTAAAGGGTCTCAGCTATTGGGCTAATAATAGAATAGTAGGCCGTTGCTATCTGCACAGGGCCTAACTTTTGGGTCCCTCTCTTAGGACATTGAGAGAGTGATTTAATATCACGCCATTGCAGTTTTCCTTTTCACATAGAGATACTAACTTGAGCCAAGGATACAGATTACTCTAACAGTAGGAAGTGGACTGTTTTTTCCATTTGTCTCTAAAATATCAAACCCAACTCACGTGCCCAAGGCCGCTGCCATAGAGGATATGGTTCACCAGTTTGTGCCTCACCAAGTTGCTTCTTTCTGTCACCTCCTGCCTAGATATTCCCAGTCGCATCTGCTGGACTCCACACTGAAGTCCCTTCCTTCATCCCCATCTTTCCAGTGCCCCAGGACTGTACCCCCTCAGAACCGCCTCCCCCTAGCCTCCTGATCTGCAAAAACTTTTTCTTGTATCTCACTGATCTCTTTTAGGACCTCTCAAAGTCACTTTTGATTTGTAAAACACTTGTCCATGCGTTCTAACGTTATTCTGAGGACAGTCTAGCTAGCAGGAAAAGTTTAGCTTAACCCTTAGGACTTTTCTCTAGGAATAAGTCCATTTAAACACTGATCTTCTACAGACAGTGCTCTGCCTTCAATCAGTCTCTGAATGAATCGAAAGGTAGGAATTTAAGGCAGGAAGAAACCTACCCATTTGGACTTAACCAGTGACCAAGATGAAGAAGACCAGGCAGACCTTAGTTAGTTCTTGTATCTCACCAAAAAGTCCCTGGGGCTCACCCCTTGGGGGACTAGCCCTACTTACCCAGACCAAGAAGTCAACTGGAAATGCACCCTTGGCCCTACAGGGCACTGACTTACCTGATTTATTGTTGACACAAGCAAGAAGAGTCTCAGTAACAGAATCTATTAGTGACCACTGGGTTCCTATGGAATTGAGGGTTCCCCCTCAACAGGCATTTCTTTATTCTTCACACTTCTGGGTGTTTTACCTTCTGACTTGAGTACTTTAAGTGTCATAAAATGCATTGTATTTTCAGTAGTCTGCTAAAGAAATCCCTGTTGTTCCTGGGGGCTGATGTCAAATGAGGAGGTCAGGTCCGAGGTGGTGATAGTCACATTATTGCATTTATTTGCAACCTGACTGATGGGTTAGCCTGGGGCAGTTGATAACTTCACACTTGGACTTAGCAAGAGAAGATGCTTTGGAAGGGTGTGATTTGAAGGAAAACAGACCCTGGTGGGGACAGTCAAGGTTGTGGAGCAGAGGGACGTCCATTTGTTCTAAGACAGCATAGCATAGAAGGTGAGGTTTTAATAGAAGTGGCATGTGAAGAGGTGTGTGTATTTTTCAAGCCAGTAGAGGTTGGTGTTGATTTATTATCAGAAAGTACCTCAAAGTTTTACTAACGATGATCACCATACCTTAAAACAGGTTGGGTCCATTTCTATTGCCAAGGGTTTTTGTTTGTTTGTTTTTTTAATGTTTATTTATTTTGAGAGAGAGCTCACACATGCCCAAGCAGGGGAGGGGCTGAGAGAGAATCCCAAGCAGGCTCTGCAGCATCAGCACAAAGCCCGATGTGGGGCTCGATCCCACAAACCATAAGATCATGACCCGAAATCAAGAGTCAGATGCTTCACCAACTGAGCTACCCAATCGCCCCTCTACTGCCGAGTCTTGAACAATGTAACTTCTCTAATACCCTTCACTAGCAAGTTCCTTCTAAAGCATGTAATGGAAAATGGTGTAATGTCTTATGACTCACTAGAATATAAACTAGAACAGCTTTTGGAGATACTCGTGTCAAAATGTAGAGTGATTTCAGTTTTCCAAATTAGTGCTTTTTTTTTTTTTTTTAAATCTGAGATGTTAGTCTCCTGAATGTCTAGACTTCCCCACTATGAAATGTTGCATGCTAATAAATGGTGGAAATGCCGGTCACCTCATGTCATTACATGAACTGTTTCCTGGTTGTTTGCAGGAACTGAGAGAAATACATAATAAGCAACAACTCCAGAAACAAAAGTCCATAGAGGCCGAACGTCTGAAACAGAAAGAACAAGAGCGAAAGATCATAGAATTAGAAAAACAAAAAGAAGAAGCCCAAAGGTAAGTCTTCTCGTGGATTGTGTGGCCATCGGGAAGAAACGTTGAGTATTTATTCTTCCTTGCGGGGCTTTTGCAAGTATTTACTGACTTTGAAAGAGCCTTCAGTCTTTAAATTTTTTTTTTTTTTTCAACGTTTTATTTATTTTTGGGACAGAGAGAGACAGAGCATGAACGGGGGAGGGGCAGAGAGAGAGGGAGACACAGAATCGGAAACAGGCTCCAGGCTCTGAGCCATCAGCCCAGAGCCCGACGCAGGGCTCGAACTCACGGACCGCGAGATCGTGACCTGGCTGAAGTCGGACGCTTAACCGACTGCGCCACCCAGGCGCCCTGAGCCTTCAGTCTTTAGTGTGTGTGTGTGTGTGCACACGCACAAGCACAAATAAATACGTGTATATATAAATCTTTGCATATATAAGTACCCCCTGAAGTTTTTGGTGAGTTTCCAGAGCTCTCCCAAGCTACTACTATGTAGATAAATGGAATTATACAAGGAAATGAGGACACTTGGTATGCTCATTTGCATGCCAATGACCAAAATACATTTCCAGTTCACAGCCTTTTTATAACAGTGGCTGTCCTGAGCGCTGGGTTTGAAATCAAAGCCCCTGAGTGGTCGCCACGCAGGCTTTCTCCAGCAGGACTGACCGCGTGCTACTCTGACTTCTTTCTTCTTTTCTTCAACTGCAAATTAAACTTGAGTACAAGAGGAGAAAATTTGCTGCTGCTGCTGAAGATACAGACACATTTTTTTGTTTGTTTTTGTTTGAATATTTGTGTTTGTGGTTATTATTACTTGTAACTTTCTATAGTAAGTTGTAGAAACATATTTGTTCACTTGCGGGGTGTCTGATTTCGTTACTGGATATTTGCATCTTAAATTTCAATTAATTTTTTACTCTAAGAAACAAAAATGACCAAGTATTTCAATGACACAGTATACGTTGTAAAAATTGGTTATTGAAATTAGAATAAAAAGATGAAGAAACATACGTTAGGCAAGTCATTGACCTTAGTGAGCTGAGCTCAGTTTAACTACCCAGAGGGTGCACACTTTGTTGTGGGTGTCTGTAGTTCAGTTAACCCTTGAACAACAAGGAGGTTAGGGGCGCAGACCCCTGCTCAGTTGGAAATCTGAGTATAACTTTTGACTCTGCCCAAAACTTAGCTACTAATAACCTACTGTTGATTGGAAGGAAGCCTATAACTAACACATATTTTGTTGTGTTGTATATATTATATACTATGTTCTTACAATAAGGTAAGCTAGACAAATAAAATGTTAAAATCATAAGAAAGAGAAAATACATTTACAGCACTGTAGTGTGAAATATCCCCATTTAAGTGGACCCACATAGTTTACCAGTGGATAGGTGGGTAGGGTCTCTAACCAGTTTAGAGGATTGTTTTATGGTTTTCTTGGGGCTTGATTCAAGGATTCATTTCTTGGATGTGCTGATTAACTCTAACTCCATCCTTTTCTTATCTTCAAAGTTGATAAGACGCTTTGATTATTCACATTAAACTGCACTAAACTTTCATATTTCTGCAGAGGAGAAATCAATACAAAATATCATAATACAAAAAGGGTAGATTTTCTGCTTACAATCATATAAATAAAACCAAAAATTAAGTTCAGAAGTTACATGATGTCTTTTATTAGTATAAAATATTAAGTACATTTTTATTGTGGTTTTGTTGTTGTTATGAATGACAACAATTTTTTTGTGCTTTCTTAAAAGATGTTTTGAAAAATTTAAGTAAAATGTTAGAGATTTAAGCTAAGAATTTTACTGCACCGAATTTTCACATTCATACAGCATAGAAATAAATATAATATTTTTTAAATGGAGAATACAAGTTTTATTTGCTTATATTATGTTCTTTTGGCAGTGTCCTAATTCCGGGAGATGACCTTTGTGCTTTGGCCATGTCACAGGACAGTGGTTCAGTATGTGGAGCCTAGAACCAGGCTGCCTGGGATTGAGCCCCAGGCAGGTGTGGCCATGTGGCCACTTATGTGTAAAATGGGGACAATAATAGGACCTCCCCACCTGGTGTGAAGACTAATGGAGTTAATGTAGGAGGAGGACTAGTTATTACTATCATCATATTGTTGAGTTTGACACATGAGTTTCATTTAAAGTGTTTTCTGATTTCATAGACTGTATGGGGTGAGAGAAAAACCACCCCTAGTTGTCTCCTGTGGGTTTCAGGATGAGGTCTTCTTATATGTCAGGGCCTAGATTTAATTACACTTTTCGCATCAGCTGTTTTGACAAACAGAAGGTTAGTTGTCAAATTCAGGAAGATGCATAGAGACTATTCAGTAATGGATGGCCGCTGCCTCGAGGGTTCCAACTCATCTGTTGCTTTCACCATCAGTTTTTGGGGGACCTACATGCGTGTTCATCTGGTTGTGCTCCCTCATCACGGATGTTTGTTCCTGTGCGTGTTAGGGGTTTTGGTGGTGAAATACCAGTCTTCTCATCGAGAAGCATCTTTGTTATTCTTCTAACTACTTCACAAAATACATCAGAAATCTTCTTTCTGTGTTTTTCTGAGTCGTGTGGTTTCATTGCACTCAGAATCAGAGCCCTGAGAGCCTTTGTTTCATGGACTCAGACTGCCCCATCTGAGGAACAGTATCCCCTCCGTGTTTAGCATTCCATTGACTAGATGGAGCTTTTTTGTGAAGAGACCACAGCAGTGGTAAACTGGAATTGCTTCCTCGCAGTAATCAAGCTTTTTGTTGACAGACGAGCTCAGGAGAGGGACAAGCTGTGGACTGAGCACACGCAGCCGGACAATGAGCAGCAGCGGCCAAGGAAGATTCACGATGAAGAGAAACTCCGAAGGGAGGAGAGTGTCAAGAAGAAGGAAGGCGAGGAGAAGGGCAAACCGGACACACAGGACAAGATGAGTCGACTTTTCCATCAGCATCAAGAACCCGCCAAGCCAGCTGTCCAGGCACCCTGGTCCACCACAGGTATTAGGGGTCAAAAGTCATTCTGGCAAATGAGTTTTCTCTCCCAGATCTTCCTGAGAAATTTCCATGTCTAACAGGCCCTGTCTTGGCTCCTTCCATAGAGGTGAGAATGCCAGTGTCCTTTTCTCGGACCGTGCAGGTGTTCATTCTCTAGGATCACGAGATGCCTGTTTAATCTTCCACCACCGTGCCAACCTTTGGTCCCTAGTACACTGGCGTCCAGAGTCTTTTGTAGACAAAAGTGGCATGAGTTTTCCTTTCCAAGCCCCATGCATAAACCTGTGTTCCAAATTTGGAAAGAACCTGTTGCTTCTCCACTTGGCTATTTTCTCTGGGAATTTCTGAGCTGTTTCAGCCCCAGGAAATGACACCTTTTCCCCCTTCAGTCTGTCTTCAGTCTGCACTGCATAAAGCCGTGTCCTTTATCTTTTGAAAACTGTGACTTTTGTTTTGCCCTTTGATCATAAGTTGCCTCTTTAAATTCTGGTAAATGAAAGACTTTGAAATCGCTAGAAAACATGAACTCTTACATGAGATGCAACCTAGAATGTATTTTCGAGATTCTTGTGTGGCTGTATAATATTGTACAGCTCTGCAGATTAATACTCAGCTGAAGAAAGTGATTGCTTTTTCCTTTGCATGGTAAATTATATTGATTTTGTTTGATTATCAGTGTGCTTTTTATTGATACACAGAAAGAAAAGAAAGCAGCACACTGTTCCGTAGGGTTTGCTTCCTGTTTACTGTGGGCAGGAATGGGAGTGGGGTTCAGAACTGGGTCTCACACCCTCCCTGCCTGCAGTTTAGGAAAAATGATGGCAAGCTTATTTATGTTTTAATGCTTTCTTTGATACGAAAATAATTTCACCAGTACTCGATCTTAGGCAATTAGTTTTAAGTTCCTTATCTTGCCTCCTAGTATAAAATGAGGATTGAGGCCCCTGGGTGGCTCAATCAGTTAAGCGTCCGACTTCAGCTCAGGTCATGATCTGGCAGTTCATGAGTTCCAGCCCCATGTTGGGCTCGGAGCCTGGAGCCTGCTTTGGATTCTGTGTCTCCCTCTCTCTCTGCCCCTCCTCCACTCACGCTCTCTCTCTCTCTCTCTCTCTCTCTCTCTCTCTCAAAAATAAGTATTAAAAAAAATTTTTTTTTTAATGAGGATTTCTTTTTTTATATAACTTTTTTAAAAGTTTATTTATTTTGAGAAACAGAGCTTGTAAGCGGGGAGGGGCAGAGAGTGAGGGAGAGAGAGAGGATCCCAAGCAGGCTCCACACTGCCAGAACAGAACCCGATGTGGGGCTTGAACCCGCGCACTATGAGATCATGACCTGAGCCAAAATCAAGAGTTGGACGCTTAACCAACTGAGCCACCCAGGTGCCCCTAAAATGAGGATTTCTATTTCCTTTGGCCAGTGAGATACACTGCACATCATCCAGCTGAAGACTGCATGAAGATAATACCTTCCCTTCACTGCTTTTCAGAGAAAATAGATGTGTGTCTAAATACTTGCAGCTCTAGGGTATAAAGTTCTGAGGGCTGTGGTTAGGTATTGTTAAGTTTTAGCCAGAAGCCAAAATGTCTTCTGCTTGCATGCGTTTTTGAAAACTTTTACTTGAAATCTAAATTATTTTCATACAAGTTCTGTCTTTTGGCTCACTTCCCCTCCCCTGGGAAATGTAGAGGAAGACTTACTTCACCAGGGATTATCAATAATAATTGTTCTTGGTGAAATCGGCACTTACATTTTATATGATTGCTTTAGGGACCTAAAACATCGACATTTCCGTGTCTCTTAGTATGGAGAGTTGTGCTGCTTTACTTTCTGCCAAAGGAGTTTTCTTCTTGGCTGATTCAGTTCGGGGGTCACATTCTAGCTGCTGCATTGTACTCGGCACCCTGGGTGGAGAAGAGGGGGATTGATGCTTTACAGATGTGCACTGCTGGAGCCTGAGCCGGGAGGCTGTTCTACAGGGACCTAACACAGCCTCACTGCATTTGGCGTTGGGATGGCTTTTGTTCAGGGAGCGTCGGCCAGTGGACTCTGATGGGTTTGAGTTGCTGACATCAGATTTGGCTCTCCTTAGGCACTAAGTATGTGCTTCAGAAATTTCTTGAATAGATGGAACTTGTTCAGATGGTAAGGGCCGCAGTAGAGCAGAGGTCCTTCATTTGGCTTGTTGTCATGCATATGTGTTCCGTGTAATGTTTTATTTTTGTTCCCTTCTCCCCACTGTTTTGGAAATAGAAAAAGGCCCACTTACAATTTCCGCACAGGAGAATGTAAAGGTGGTGTATTACCGAGCGCTCTATCCCTTTGAATCCAGAAGTCATGATGAGATCACGATCCAGCCCGGAGATATAGTAATGGTAAGAAAGACTCCCGTCAAAGTGTGATTTCTGTCAATGATTAGCACCTGTCCTCCTCCTGCACTTTATTTGACAGCGTGAAATTGTCACTGAGTATGAAATCCAGTAATCCAGCATCTGGACTTTTGAAGTATGGGCTCAGTCTTCCTTCCCTATCAGAATGAAAGATGGTATTTAGAAATGTATCCTAACATCACTTTAAAATAGAGGTGTTAGAGAGAATGGGTTGTTATCACAGCCTGGGCATGTTTTAAAATCTATAAAGGTCTGGTAATTTCAGAGTTTAGATTACCACTTACATATTATGAATAGTCCTTAAGACATAGTTTTCAGTGCAAAATGCTTTATCATCATTTTCGTAATTGCCAATGATAACTTCTATATCTTCGGATCAGTGCATCTTTTTTCCCCTTTGTGTGATCGTTGAATTGTGTGAAGAGCCATGAATTACATACAGTGAATCTGCCTTCTTATTCTGCAAATGAGCAGATGAAAGAGTTTGGAATTTTGCTTCGTCAAAGTTTATTTTCTTTAATTACGGTAATAGTTAAATATAATCTTATGAGTGTAACTCAAACTATAGTAACCAGTTTAAGAAGGAATGAAGCAATGTGGTTGACCGAAATCACTTTCTAAAGAGAATAGTAGTTCCTGCACCTAGTTAATAACTTAAGAATAAGAGTCTTAGAAATGGTCATACTTTACATCACTTACTGTTGGGCATTTTTTGTTTGTTTAAAGATGGGGTTGGTTCCGAATTTTAAAAGAACTATGAAAGTCAAAGATTGAGATAAGCATGCTTCTCACACTGGTATTACATGTCTTTGGACTAAAAATGTTGTAGAGGTCATTGCACCCTTACTTACGTGTCCCTTTCGCACGTATACATCAGATGTCTGGGTGGAGAAAACACGATCTTTAGCGAACCAAAATATGTAGAAAGAACAGTGTGTTTGGTATTCAGAGATATCAATCATTTCTCCCTTTTTTTCTGATAGTTTTTTTCTCTACCTGTCATGGGCTAGAAATAAGAGAATCAAGACCAAATATCCAGATTCTTCACAAGTCAGAATCTCTGTAACAATCACAAACCCTCTTCAAATATAGTCCAGCCTCCATTCAGCAAACTATTTGAATGCCTGGGTGCCAGCCTTACTCACTCTTTGCAGGAAGAGCCTCTCTTTCTCTTTGGCGGAGGCACCGCACTCATACACACGAACAGTGATTCAAGGCCGCCCCATCACCACTGACTCTTTCCTGTGCTGTGTTTGCTAGGCCTGAAGCAGCTTTATTCATGCAGCCTCATCTTTGAACTATTGTGGCTTTTAAAGCATTTGAATTGTTAAAATATATAAAATATGACACCAGGAATCTAAAACTTGTGAGAGTACAAGGTGACATCAGATAGGGCCTCATAACAAAGCGTGGTTTTTTTGTTTTTTTTTACACTGGAAAAAAAAAAAAAGAGCCTGATGTTTTGAAACTGGATTTTGTTGCAACACCAGGTACAGAAAAGTAGTGTTCTCTTGTTGAGATAAGGAAGTGTTACAAAATGTTACAATGAAGAAGTGTTACAGATGATCTATACTGAGAAAATATTGGTATTCTTTGGAAACATAGTCTTGTTACAATGATACTTTTCCTCAAATTGGCTAGTTAACCACCCTCTTGACTAGATGAATAGAGTTTAGATATACTGTAAAAATAAAACATTTCATTAAACATATTTTGCCTTGCTTTCAAACCTTTGCTTTCCTGGTGGAGGTTAAAGGGGAATGGGTAAGTCTATGTAACTGTCAGGAAGTCTACATCTCATTAAGTGTTTTCTTCTTTTAAGTCACTTTGATTCTGTGTAAGTACACATACCTTTGGGTGTTATCGTGGAAGTAGAAACATGTTTTGAGTTTGTACAGTAGGTTGTGCTTAAAAAAGAAAACAGAGAAAAAAGAGGTATAAAGGTATGTGTACCAGATTTCTCTGTGCTAGATTCCATTTAAGGACTAACTTGAAGGCTGTGTATTTGGCAATTATAAGGTCAAGTCTCTGTCTCAGAGTACAGACAAAAATTGTTCCAGGTAGTTTAAGCTTAGAAAATAAAATTCTTAATTTTTTTAAAGGAGAGTATTGGAATAATTTCCTGGCAAAGAAATACCTTTCTGAGCTAAAACCAGAAGCCATAAATGATAAAAATGGACAGATTTGACAATGTAAAATAATTTATACTTGTATATTGCAAAGTACATCCATAATAAAGACTCCAAAAAGTTAATATGAAAGAAACCCACAAATTATAAAAGTTGTCCAAGGATATGAGGAGATAGTAAAAAGAAGAAAAGCAAATGATTTTAAAAATATATAAAAAGAGGTTTTATCTCATTGGCGATCAGGAAATGCAGGTTAAGAAAAAAACAGCATTTTTCATTTCTCAACTGAGCAAATTTAAAAGTTTGGTAATATCCTGCTTTGTCAAAAGTGTAGGAAAGCAGTTGTAATATACACTGTCAGCACGATTGTATGAATTGGCTAAGCTATTTGAGAAGCAATTCGACAATGCCTATTCAAATTTCAAATTCTTATTCCCCTTGACCCAGAAATTCTGTTATTCTCCCTCTGTTAGACTGTTTTTTGGCATTTGCACAAATATATGTGCATGTGGATCTTCACTGCAGCATTGTTGGTAAAAGCAAAAAAGGAACATCCCAGTATAGCAAGGGAGTAGTTTGTATAAACTATGATATGGCTAAACAGTATGATCAAGATGTTTTTAAAAAATCGTATAGATCTACATATACAGATAAGCTCACCAGTAAAAAAAAAAAAACAAAAACAAAAACAACAAACAAGCAGAAACAATATGCACAGTGTAATTGTACTTTGGTTAAATAAAATATTGTGTGTGTGTGTGTGTGTACATGTGAATGTTTTTGTGTATGTAGTTCAATTCCTGAAATACAGACATGAAACCATTAACATTGGTTCCTGCTGGGCAGTAAAGAGGGGTTTTCATGTTTAATTTTTTGTACTTTTGTATTATTTTCATATTTACAAATGTATCAACATTTGTAATTTTTAAATGAAACACTGAAATTAATCCAACTTTGACAAGTATAACAGAGAATGTCCACCCAGTACTGGAATGGTGTTTGCTTTATCTATCTCAGACATCCCAAATATACAATGAAATGTGGAATGTGTACTGCTAGGCATAATTTACTGGCTTGCTGAAGGGACAGTAGCAGTGTCTTCATTTTATAGCACACAATGTAACATGACACCCCAAATGACACTCAACTAGATTATCTTCCTGAGGTTAACAGTCAGTGCAAAAACTATAGAAATTGCATGGGATAGTAACAGATTTTTTATTCCCTACAGTTTGAGGTCAAGAAACATGGTCATGAAAATATGTAGTGGAACATTACTATCAATCTCTTAGTTGAATAATCAGGAGTTCACTTATTTTTGTGGGCGCAGTAATCATAAGATTCTCAGATTTCTCAAACTTCCTTAAAAAATAGCTGACTATACTGGTTAGATTAAAAAAACCTAACATATCCTTTTTTTAGCATAGGCAGTCTTGGAGGGAGCTCTAAAAAGTATTCTGTTCTTGAAAAAACTTGGTGTCCAGTTTTCTCCAAAAAAAATTTTTCATGGTTAACAAAAATTAAAGTGCTGTCTTATATATCATCCTATTCTAAATATTGTTCATAATATAAAGAAATACAAGAGGATGTCTGCCATTGATGTTTCAAATCTTTTTAGAAAGGTAGGAAGAAACACATGAAAAAGCCAATGCCTGATGAAGTTCTCAGGGAATTCTTACTAACTCTGCTAGGAACTTAAGAGGAAAGGAATCAGAATGAACCGATATGTTCAGGGAAGAACTTCTTAATGGAAGCTTCTTAAATGAGTTTGACCGTGATAGCTAGGGCTTAGATACTGTGAACATTGATATGGCCTATCTCTGATCTGAAGGTCCCAGTATTTGGAGGACGACTAAATCACATTTGACATCCATAATGCATTGGAATAGCATAAGAAATTAGAAGACCTTTCTTTGCTCACTGCCATTTTGTTGAAGTTTGTCTTAAGAGCACAGGCTGATCATCTAACTCAGCAGGTCCAGGTGGTGTAGGACTGAGTACATCAGAACGGCTCAGGAGTTTTAAAAAAAATAACCCATTCCAGGGCTCACCCCCAGAGACTCTGGGAACTTTATTCCAAATACAGGATTCAAAATCTTCTCCAAGTGGTTCGTTCTGTTAGGCAGTCACTAACAGGAACCACTGATCTAACCTAATGCCTTTTTCCTGTCAAGACTAATCCTAAATCATTTCTGGAAAATACCGTCTTAGAAATAGCTTTAAAAAAAAAAAAAAAAAGACACTCTTCAGTGGTTGTCAGCCCTCAACCAGTTCAGTTCATTCTGAAGATTGTTTATTGTCTTACATTCATTGTTTTTCTTTTTTTTTTCTCTTGATGGAAATTTTTTTTTTTTTTTTTTTTTTTTTTTTTTTTTTAATATAGTCAATACCTTTCCTTTCCTGCCTTCCTTCGATTTCTGAGGGTGGCTTGTTTAGTAACAATTGGTCATAGTATCCTTCCTTTTTTGAGGAACCAGTACATTACGATTCCAGCAGTGGCCCACATGTGGCCCGCTGCCTGTTTTGTAATAAAGTTTTATTGGAACACAGACTTACTCATTTGTGTATTGCCTACAGCTGCTTTTGTGCTGCAAGGGCAGGGTTGAATAGTTACAACAGAGGAAGAATGTCCTGGATTAGAGCTTCAAAATCTATTTTAATCTTCTAACCCAAAAGTTTGGGGGGAAACATTCTGTTTCCAGGCTGGCAATGCATGAAACACGGGCTACCCCCCATACTCCTCACCACATCCCAGACAGCCACACTGGCTGGTCTGAGTCTGTACACAGTTTAAGTCTCTTTGCCTTCCTTGTTCTGTGTCATTGTGAGGGGAGAGGGAATTTCTATTTCCCTTCTTTGTGACAAGGTAAGAGGTTTTAGAAATATTTGGGCTGCCAAATGAATTTAGCAGACATGAAGCATAGAAGCCTTGAGAGAAGAGATGTAATGGTATCGGGCTTCAGCCATGTGTCCTTGACCCTAACAGCTGCTATGAGCATTTGACTGTTGCATCCAAGCCCTACAGCATACAGTGTATGTTAACATTTTGTATGCTAGATCTGTGACATTCCAGATGGGTGTGAACTATCTGGGGTTTGCGTTTCCCACTTTGATAAGGTTCTACTAGATTGACTGCAAATGCTTTGAGGTGTTGCAGTGGGGCTGGTTAAGTGAAATTGTATTAAGACCAACACTGTTAAGATTTCAGAACCCCCTGACTTTTAGCCACCAATAAATGAATTTACTTTATATATGTTAAAGTCCACATTATAGCCAGCCATGTCACAAAGTTTGTGTGCCTAACTGTTGTCGTTCTATTCTAATCTTATGTACTGTCTTTCCACAACTGGATTGGCATTTGGGCTAAAGTTTCCCAAATCCAGGAGGAACTATTTCTCCCTTTCCTATGAAACCTTTGTGCTTTTTCTAAGTGGTTAATTTAATGTTAAGAGTGAATTTTTATTATATCCTCTGAATCTTAAAATTAAGTCATTCATTAAAATTAATGGATTCCTATTGGAACAAATCAGGCTAATTGAGACTATTGTTTGGTCAAAGTTGACCAGTGAATTTCCTTGGTTAAAAGGGAACAGCTGATTTCACTACTACCCTGAGTGATGGAGAAACTCTTGTTTGACCAGATAAGAGGCTGATGTGGCATCTTCTCCCCTTCTTAAGTATATGAAACTCCTTTCAGCAGTGAAGCGTACTTTCTGTAGTGTGCTTTCTGTTCTTATCAGGAGAAGGGGGCTGGGTGCGATCAGCTAACTAGGGTACAAGCTAGACCTGCCCACAGGGCAGGACATTTCGTTGGGGCTTCGGGTCCAGTTCTAGATGTCAACACCAAAAGTCTTGTTAACCAGGTAAGACCCTGTGTCTCGAAGGAATGACAGTAAATTATAGGACATAATCGAGTAAAGCAGCTGACATTTGAGGAGGTCCTACCTGGACAGACCAGTCGAAGTTTCCGACAGGCCATGGTCCAGGATTGAACTCCAGCCCCTAGAGGATTACTGCTGGCAAGAAAGCAAACCCTACAGGTCCCAGGCAGGTTCCTAGAGCAGAGAACGCCCCATACCGAGAACTGGAGAGTGTTACCTAAAGTGAGGGTAAGGACCAGGACAAAAGCCCAAATGAGAGAACTTCAGTACAGAGTCAGAGCTGGACAACAGGAAAGATGGCTTTTAAAAGTCTATCATTAAACACTTCTCATATGCCAGGCAGGGTTTTAACTATTTAACAATCCTTATAGCCACCCTAGTAAGGCGGGTACTATTATCCCCATTTCAGACAAACAAGCTGAGGCACTAGGAGATGAAGGTTGCCCAGTCCCAGTTAATAAATCGTAGAACTAGTATTTAAAGGGGGGCAGTCTAATTGCAGTGCCCTACTCCTGATCATGATGACACCTTGCTGTCTTGAGGCTAAGTGACTGTGTCAGGCTCAAGTTAGTGAGTTAGGCTCACCTTTGGTCCTAGAATGAGTGGAGGGGGATGGGAGCTTGACTGTTGAACTTGCTGAGGAGTTGGGGAGCCCCTGGCACCATCTGGCCTAGAAACGGCTGTTTCCAGTGCAAAGCTGTGGCAATATTGAAATGTGTCATAATCACTAATAAATATAAATGAAGAAAGAAAGGCATTTCTAGTCATTTGAGTTTAGCATAAAATCCAAGTGGAAGAAAATGTCATCTTAAATCCTCGTCTAGGGAAAGAGTGGGGCTGCCCAGAAAAAGGAACGTAAGGACAAAACAGTGTGGGGGAGTTGAATGAAAAGCGACTAATGTGTTCACATCCGACGTAAGTGTCAGCAAGAATATCAGAACTATAAAGCAAAAAATAAAACCTCTGAAGCAGTGTGGCTGTTTATCTCGGGGAACTCCTTTTTGGAGAATTCGCAGTTTTAAAAATTGCTTTTGCCCCTGACGTTAAGGGTTCCCTGAGGTGGAGCAGGGTACAAGGATCATCCACCTACTGAATATTTTGTAAATCAGATGTATAGTTAAGTAGTAAGCCCTATCTACTTTTTCCACCCCACCCCAAGCAGTTTTAAAATTCAAGTATGCTAACAAACATTACGCTTACTCTGCACTGAATACAGATAGTAGATGTTTGGTTCCATAATTTGGGACTTGATTTATTTTTATTTTTTATTTTTATTTTTTTTTTACTGTATATTTGAATGAACTAGAAAACTGGTATTTTTGCCCATATTTGCAAAGTCATTGTGAACTCATTTCTGTGATCTCTTAAAGAACAACATTAATGTCTGATGCAGTGTTCAGTGTTTTACCTCCTCAGGCAGTAATATTAAGAAATAAAAATAAGAGGAGGTCTCTGATAGGCCTTTATTTGATATAGTAGTGAAATTAGTTTTCTAATAGTGAATGTAATTTTCCTCCAAAGTCATTCTCATGTGGCTCATAAAATTGTGAGGGTAACTCATAAAGATTGGTAGAACCATTCTGGTGGTTTTGAATGATCTTTTTAAATCTGAATTAAAATGCAAACACTAAAAGCACTTGATGTAATAAATAGCCTCTGTGAGAGTTTTAAACAGCAGCTTTCTGTATTCTCATGTGCACTTTTAGGACATTAAAGTTAAATTTATATAAAGAAAACTATGGGACCTTATTAATAAAATCAGTGTTGCTGTGAATAACCACTTTCTGGATTTTCTCATCATGTGTCTATGGAGCTTTTAAATGGCTTAAGGTCAGCTTTGGTTCCCAAGGAAACTAAGACTGTGTTTGTATCGTTCTTATCTGTGTGCTGAACAAACACTGCTTAGTTATTAGAGATATTTAAAGGTTTTTTTTTAATTGGAGAGAGTGGGAGGAGGGGGGGTGGAGAGAGAGAGAGAGAGAGAGAGAATGAATCCCAGGCAGGCTCCATACTCAGCACGGAGCCTGACTTGGGACCCGAACCCATGACCCTGGGGTCATGACCTGAGCCAAAATCAAGAGTCAGACACTCAAACGACTGAGCCACCCAGGCGCCCCATTAGAGATTTTTAGAATACTGATTACTGTTGATTACATCCTTTGCTTTCCATTTTAAATAATAAACCCTAGTTAAATTATTTTTTAATAACTGCATGACTTCCTGAGTGATGAATGCTATCAGATCACTTTCCAATTCCAGGGAACTTTAAAAATTTAAACCATGAGCCTGAGGACTTTAGTCACTTTATCTTAACCACCACTGCTAGAAAAAGAAACAAAAAAAGCTTTAAAAAAGCACAAAGAAAGAACTTCAATTACAACACGTACTGTTTTTTTAGAGTTAATGTTTAGAGACCGTTTTTCCAGACACCGAGACTAGCATAGGGTGAAGAAATGTCTGTGCAGCGTGCGACAGGGTCAGAGGCTTGGGGCTTTGTCCTGGTGGAGAGCGTGGTGTCTTTCCGGGGGTTGATTTAGCTCCACTTGTGTTAAACTTTGTGACTTTCCTACAGGTGGATGAAAGCCAAACTGGAGAACCGGGCTGGCTTGGAGGAGAATTAAAAGGAAAGACAGGATGGTTCCCTGCAAACTATGCAGAGAAAATCCCAGAAAACGAGGTTCCTGCTCCAGTCAAACCTGGGCCCGACACGACCTCTACCCCTGCACCCAAGCTGGCCGTGCGTGAGACCCCCGCTCCTGTGGCTGTGACCGCTCCAGAGCCCTCCACGACCCCCAACAACTGGGCTGATTTCAGCTCCACGTATGTATAGACACACTGTTCCTGAGGACTTTTGAACTCCTCACTTAGTAATCTTTTTAAAGTATTCTTAGAGCTTTGGGCTGTACCTCTGTGTAAAGGAGCAGGCTGATTTTCGTTACCTCTCTCCCTGACCACTCTACTGGCAAATTGTGGATTATGCTGTCTGAACTCAGTTTAATTATTTCATTGCTCAGCAGTGGTATGCCCTGGGACAAAATAAAGCCTGTTATCTCGTTGCGTTCAGTAATTTGTATCTTTCATTCTTGTAGAAGAAATGGAGAAATACCATTTCCTAATAATCTGTTTGACATCCAGGGCAGTCAGCAAATAGAGTCATTTCCTGCATGTAAACAGCACTTTTTTGCTGGTCAGAAACAGAAATTGAATTCAGTCATGTGGTTCTGAATAAGATAGAAAGCTGTTTCCTTTAAAGCTTGCCTCTGTCATCAGTCTTGTGCACACGTACCTGTGAGCAAAGATATGTGTGCTCTTGGCCATTGTGAGTGCCACGCCCTTGGGCATCACGAAATAGCATTAAAAACTGTGTAAGCAGAGGTTTGAAATGATAAAGGAAGCTGCTGTCCACACTTGTAGTTACAGGACCATGATCTACACATACAGTTGTCTAAAAATATTTTCTGCAAGCATCCAGGTAAGAGTGATAAGTAATTTCACTCTTGTAATTTCTTTTTCAAGCCTAATCATCTTTCAGAAAAATCAAATGGAAGGTAAGGAGTCAAGTCCTGCTAGAGACAGATCAGATGGCTCACACAGAGCAGAGAAAGGAACATGGTGACCAACAGCAGAGGAAGTGGAAGGAAGGATGTAAGACAAAGCAAGTTTTTCCTGCTCCGATTTTCATGTAAAAGGTTGAAGGTGCTAAGAAAGGTCCTCCCTGTCTAGTTTCTGCTTAGAAGTCGCCTTCCTTTAGCATGGTTCCAAGTTGAAACTCCATTCCTCTCTTGATCTCATTAAAAAGTTCGGACTTTTTAAAACTGAAGCTTAGGCTAACGTAGAAGATAAATACGGTGTTTTCCAGGATTTTGTTCTGCTGTGATCCGGTCATTGTGACAGTCTTCCTCGATAAACGTGTGCTGTGCGGTTCTCCAGCTGTCATTAGGGGGCATCTTATTTTCTAAACCCAGAATCAGGATGTGCAGTCCAACAAAGGAATTATTTTGATTTTCAAATGTGTTTATGTCTTACAAAGATGTAAAAAGTAAATTACATGTGGATCTGCAGTCACACAGATGCACATAGTTAACATTAAAAAATTCACAAAATCAAAGCTGCCCCTGAGACCCAGCACAACTGGTCACTGTCAGGATTCCACCTGCAGTTACCCTGGTGGCTCGACATAGGCCTGGTGCTTGCAGCAGGATGGACAGGACAGACAAACGGAGTTAAGCACCAGCTGCCAGACTGGCATGTGTTCGAATGTGGTGTGTAACTTCTTTTTTGCTGATTGCACTGTTGTTGCTACAAATGACCGTGATCATTGTGTGAGGATGCTTCTCTGGTGCTTTAGAGTTGCAAAGAGACGCTATCCCATATTTCATGTGACCCTCACCACTAACCAAAGTGGCAGAATGTTGTTCCCATTTTATCAATGAGAAGTGAAGATTCAGAGAAACTATCATAATTTGCCTGAGGTTCATCGCTAGTGAAGCTCAGATTCAAACCCAAGTCTAAGGCTCTTTCCTCCCCATCATGTTCTTGAACCTTTTTTTTTTTTTTAAGAATATTTATTTATTCAATTGTTTGTTTATTTTAGAGAGAGTGTGTGAGTAAGCGAGGTACAGAGAGTGAGACTGAAAGAATCCCACAAGGTGCAGAGAGACAGAGAGAGTGCGGAGCCCAGACTGGGGCTCGAGCTCACCCAAAGCAGGACTCAAACTCACGAACTGTGAGATCATAACCCGAGCGGAAGTCAGATGCTTAACTGACTAAGCCACCCAGGCACCCCTATTTATTTTTTATGTGTTGGCTTATTTTTGAGAGAGGGCGAGAATGTAGGGGAGCAGGTGAGGGGCAGAGAGAGAGGGGGACAGAGGATCTGAAGCAGCCTGTGTGCTGACAGCCGAGACAGCCCGATGCCAGGCTCGAACTCACACACTCTGAGATCGTCACCTGAGCCAAAGTCTGACACTTAGCCGACTCGGCCACCCAGGTGCCCCAGATGTTTCTGAACTTTAGAAAGCCCCATAAATGTACTGGGTCTGTGTCTGCATCTGCTGCAGGTGAAAAGCTGGCACCTCAGGAAGTACTTCTCACGGAGGCCTACTTTTCCTTCCAGGTGGCCCACCAGCACGAATGAGAAGCCAGAAACCGACAACTGGGATGCGTGGGCAGCCCAGCCCTCACTCACCGTCCCAAGTGCAGGCCAGCTACGGCAGAGGTCAGCCTTCACTCCAGCCACGGCCACGGGCTCGTCTCCATCCCCTGTGTTAGGCCAGGTGAGAGCAGTCAGTGGGTGTGCGTGTGTATACATGCTGTATACAGTGGCGGCACATTTGGCAAGTGCTTATTGGCCGGGTTGTTTGTATGCACGTGGGGCAGTTGGCAGTGCGGGATTCGGTTCACATTTTCCCGACAGCATCGAGGGGCCTGAAGAGTTCAGAGGAGGGTGATCTCCCGCACAGGTTGACCAGGGAAGCTTCACTGGGGAAGTGGCATTTGAGTGGCATCTTACAATGTGTCAATTTTAGTAGGAAGTGGAGCAGGCCGGCCCAGCAGCCAGCAGAGTCTGTGAGGAGACGCTTTAAAGTAGGAGAGGAGAGTGTTTGGCGAAAAGCACGGACCAGTCAATTTGGGGAGACCACTGAGTATCAGAAAACACATTGACTGACTATAAGTCAATGGGAAGCTCTTAAATGCTCAGCTAAGAAAGTGTTTCTGAAAGGATAAAGTAGTTGTTCTGAATATTGCTACCCAATACAATAAAGCAGTATTTTACTTACTACGATAAAGCTAAAGCAATGAAGTGTCTATAAATAACCAAACCAAACAGAGCAAATGCCCATCTGGCAGGCAGTCAGGGGTCAGGGTCAGGGTTAGGGTTAGGGTTAGGGTTAGGGGGGAGGTTCGAGCCGAGGGCGTCGAGCTGTCAGCAGCCAAGGACGGAGACACGTGCCCGTTGGAGCCAAAGGAAAGGAACGCGGTCCAGATCGAGGAAAGGATTTGGCCTCAAAGACAAGCAAGGAGGGCACAGAGAGAGGTTTTTAGTTGGCGGGAGGAGTTGGGTTTTAGGCATGTTAAGTTGAAGATGAAAATGGGGCACCAGGTGGTCCCGTCTGACAGGCAGTTGGAACATAGGTCGGCTCCGAGGAAATGCGCGAGATCGTCAAAAAAGAGAGAACAGAGCAAGTAAATGGAAAATACGCGGAGCGTGTGTGTTCTCCGATCTGGGAGAGGAGCAGGAGCCCGCGGCTGGACACGCTCCTTCCCTGTGCTTCTGTCCCGGCTCTGCTGTTTGCAGAAAGGGGGGTGGTGAGGATCAGGGCAGAGAGCGTTCCGCGAGAGGAGTGTACTTGTGGCCTGGGAAGGAGTAGGGTAAACCAGTGGCACAGGGCTGGGGGAGTGGAGGGGGAGCAAGTAGGAGCTCTGTGGCAGGGAGGGAGGGCACCGAGGAGAGAGGGAAGCTCTAGAGACGAGCGCCAGGAACGAAATGGTGTGGGATGGAAATGACATTCAAGCTGCAGAAGGAAGACGGGATCCTTCTTCTGGGAGAGGAAGGGGGAGGAGAGGCCAGAGAGAGAGAAAGGAGAGAAAGGAGGTCAGGTGGCCGCATCCTTGGGAGGGGACCCTGAGGGCCGGCAGAGTGCACACAGTTGGAAGTGAGCGAAGAGCAACGGTTTGCTTGGCTGGATGGAACCTGAATCTGTAACCGGTCGTGTCTGCACTTTGTCTCCACTTTCTGCAACGATGCTTACTTCACAGTTTGGGACCAGAAATAGCGATAGTAATAGAAGCTGCTACTATTGCAATTATTACTGTCACAGCAACACTAGGGATACATTTATTAAACTCTCTTAAGCCAAAGTGTCTCTGTTTTATAATGTGGAAACTGAGGCCTAGGGAGATTAAACAGTTGTCCCAAGTCACAAAATTGGTAAGTGACATGCTTGGGGTTCCAGCCGGACCGAGTCCATGCTGTGTTCGGCCCCAGGCTGGTTATTAGGACATTTCCACGTGGAAAAGTTGACAAGGCAGGGACGGGGAAGACGTTTCAGGAGGAGAGTGTATGAAATTCCAGGGAGGGCCCATGCAGCCGAAATGGCTGACCCTGGGGTCTCTTCTTGGCCCAGACATGAGTGGAGGCTGGAGGGATTCAGCAGCAAAGAGAGCCGCGGGCTGCCAGGCCGTTAGGGTCGGGGGGGGGGGGGGGGGGGGGGGGGGGGGGGGTTCCTGCGAGCCCCAGAGAGGAGAATGGGAGGTGGAGAGCATAAGGGCTTTGAAGGAGTGCACAGTTGAGATGGAAAGGGGTAGGGATGTCATCAGTTTAAGATCATGAGGACCCAGGAAGACGAGCTTATAGAAGTCGTAAACATGGACACCCGGGCTGTTCGACCTGGCATAAATACTCTGTACGTAATACCAATGCAGTGTTGAGAGGAAAGTGTCCTCTAGAGGCAAGTACAGGTTGGTTCTGAATGAACTGTCTTTGGGCGTTGTCCTTATTTCTGTCCATTTTCATGGGTGATTGAATGTTGACGTCTTTTTCTTTTTTTGTATTATCTTACGATATCGTGATGGTTTTATGTTACAGTTTTTAAAAAGATAATAAATGCCTCACCCTGCCTTTCCAGCCTCACCTCCTCCTCCACCCCTCCATGAAACTAGGCCGCACGCACCCCGGAATGGTGCTCCACTTCCTGGACCCTTGGCCGTGTACCACCTCGAGGCCTCTGCCCGTGCTGTGCCCTCGGCCCAGAGCGCTCTTCCTCCGAAGCCCTAGCCCGCAAAATCCTTGTCGTCCTGCAGGGCCCGACTCCAGTGCTGCCTCCTCTGTGAAATGTTCCCTGTTGCCCTCAGGCACAAGCCATTCCTCTTTTCTCTCTGTTCCCACAGCGAATAGCTGGAGCCTCTTTGTAGTCGATTTCATTCTGACAGGTGGTACACGTCCCTGTGTGTATCTCTCTCTCTTTCCTGTTAATTGTGACGTCTTTGCTAATAATACCATAGTGACCTTTTAGTGTAGTGCTTTACGGTTAATAAAGTCTTTTACCCTAAATTATTTTGAGGAGGCAGAGGTGGCACTTTATTCATCTTTGTAACCCCACGTGGCCTTTGCGTGTAGATGTTTGTGATGGATTACCGTCGATCTATGCCAGCCAAACCGCTGTGTCTCTAAAAAGGAGCTAAAACAAGCACAGTCCAACGCAGGGCATCTTTTCCTGTGCCCACCCAGACGAAGATATCAGCTAATTATCCTTTGAGACTCTGTAAGATTTCTGCTCCAGTATTGATTAATCTTTCACCAAACACTGGAAATGGGGGAGGGGGGCCCTGGGCAACTTGGGGGGTTAAAATAGAACCAAATGTAAAAGGCACACAGCCAGGTGCCACAAAACAAATACGACCTCCTGGCTTGTTCAGTTAGGGGGCTCTGGATGGCCACACAATGGCTTGGGGATAGGTTGGCAGGTTTTTGCCTCTCCTTTTGAAACTAAGTGATCACTAAGAGACGGTGAAGCATCCAGCCCCCATCGCGGCACTGAAGCAGGGTCCTTTGTGGCTGTGTGTGTGCTGTGCCCATGTACACCTCCTGGAAAGGAGTGTTCGTGCCAATGTTCGTGTGCCCTGAATTGCTAACAGATCGCAGAGTAATGAGAGGTCCTTTATGTATTTCCACACAAGGGTGAGAAGGTGGAGGGGCTACAAGCGCAAGCCCTGTATCCTTGGAGAGCCAAAAAAGACAACCACTTAAATTTTAACAAAAATGATGTCATCACCGTCCTGGAACAGCAAGACATGTGGTGGTTTGGAGAAGTTCAAGGTCAGAAGGGTTGGTTCCCCAAGTCTTACGTGAAACTCATTTCAGGGCCCATAAGGAAATCTACAAGGTATTTGTGTATTTATATGCTTCTATTAGATGAAAACAATGTTAGGCATTAAGTTACTGCTTGCATTAGTTAAGATTCACAGATAGGGCTGCGGGATTATTTTGTCTTCTGGGTCTTTTAACTGCAAAAGTTAAGAGTACGCAGCCACAGAAGGCAGCCTCTTGACAGATAAATGTCAGTTTTTTCTTCCCTTGTGGAAGCCTGTATGTCTCGTTTTTCATTGACTTCTGTAAGAGGGAATTCTACGCCAAGACCTTGAACATTCTTGCGGATTTGTTGGCAGATAATGCCTCTCTTCATGCTTAGTACCCAGTCCTGGGCCAGGTACACGTGAATACCCACAGGCCCAAAGCATTTGGGGAAACAGTGGAAAGAATGAACTATCTTTTTTTGTTAGGAACCTTATGGCATGGACCCTTTAACATAAAGAGTGTTTAATTATTGCGTTCATGTAGGTGTTCAAAGCAAATTATGAGCTTTAAGAAGATTTTAAAAAATAGCAAAAATATTAGACAAGCATCTATCATTCAGGCTTTGAAATAGACCAGTATACCCTGACTGTGCACCCAGCCTTGCAAGTGCTGAAACACAAGAATGTGAGCCTAGAATCATGCCTTGTGCACCTTGTGTATTTCAACTTAGCCCAAGAACAACTGTCTCCGCTGTAGATTGCTCAAAGTTTAAACGTTAAACAGCTTAAAAAGAAAAATAAAAAGGAAAACCAATGTCATTTGTATGATTTTCTTTGAAGATAAAAATTATAAACTCCTTTCTCCCCCAACCTCTTTCAGCATCGATTCTGGTTCTTCAGAAAGTCCCGCTAGTCTAAAGAGAGTAGCGTCTCCAGCAGCCAAGCCAGCCGTTTCGGGAGAAGGTGAGAACCTGAGTCCAATTATGTTCTTTAGAAGGGTCGAGGGGATCACATAATATAAACTGTAAATGTTTGAAAGAGACTGGATTTCACTTTAAAATAGATCGCATTAATTTATGTTCAGTGTATTCAACTCCGAGGTAAAATTAAAAGGTGAAGATCTTTACAAAAGCAAAGGACTTTCAAAATAGTATCAGATATATTAATCATAAAAACTGAATCTTCTAATTCTATTTGATTCTGAGCCCTTTGACTTTTGAAAGAGGCCCATCAGCATGACTAGGGATCAAGTTTTGTGAGCATCTCTGTCGCTGAATTGTGGTCATTGCTGCCCTTGATAGAGTCTGTTCCTCCCTGACTCGTAGATAAATGTTTTGTTTTAAAACTGTAATTACACAGTCAAGGAAAGCTGTCTGTCACAGCAACCTCAAAGCCATCTTCTACTACCTCAAATGCAAGTGAGAAGTTCAATTTTTCTGTTCCTTGTAAATATCCACACCAGATGATTTAGGCCTAAAAAATTCATCTTGAGTGCTTATTACACTATTAATTAGTTGCTTTATTTCCTGGTCTTTACCCCATGAAATAATTCTAAGGATTGTATATGCCGATATATGGGATGGATTTTAAAATGCACAAAACCCACATGATCCAGGCTCTAATGGTAAAAATCTTACGTCTTTTCTACATTCAGTGTAGCCATTATCGTAGTCTTCATTGAAGAATGCTGCCCACACTTCACACGCTTTCCACCACAAGTCTGAACAGTGTTGGTAGCTAGCAGATGTCTGCCCAGTTGTGTACTAATTTTTCATGGGTTCCTCGAATAAGTTATATGAAGATAGAGTGTTCTCTCTAGTTTGTTTGCCATCATGAGATTGTTGCATTCCTTAGAAAGCTTGCCTTGTGAAAAAGAGTTATTAAAACAATTTTTTCAGCGGAGGCAGCAAGGAATAAGGTTTAGTGGTATTTCAGACTCACGGTAACACGATTACTTTTTCAAAGGGAATTTTCGAAGCAAAAATGTTTATAAGTTTCTAGGTATAGCGGTAAAACCTCATTACTACTGAATAAATCCAACATTTTGTTACATCCATTTGTTGCTATCTCCACCAAAACAATCATTGGCATAGTTCTATCCGTATACATTCTTATCAGTCATCTTAATGAGTTTTTTATCCGCTGTGAGCAGAACAAGGCAAAAAAAAAGCTCTTTTTTAAACATAGCATGTACATCAGTATTGTATAAAGCAAATCATGATTCCACCCAAATTCAGTGTGTTATATCTAGTTAAGTCTCATCAGAAGGCCAAAGTTGATACCCTGGCTCTTCACCTAGTAGCCATGTAACTTTGGTCCTGCCTCCACTTCCTCATCTGTAAAGTGTGCGTAAGGACCGCCCCTTCAGGTAGGAAACCATTACAGGATAAGGAGATAATTTGTGTAAAGCATTTAGGAGAAAGGTCAGTAGGTATCTGCTACTGTTACTTCCTGTTTGCTTCAGTCTCTGGATGGTCAACACAGAGTCCCTTAATGCAGCAAGCATGCTCATGTACGAGCAGTGTTGATGAATGCTGATTTGTTTTGAAACCTGTGCAGAGGCCTCATCCCTTGAGGCCCCACTATATAGGTCACAGGTGAGCCAACACATTGTTTAAAGTTGAGTAACAGAAGAGAAATTCTAATCTTAGGTGACAATGACTACATCCCTTGTGAGGTGACTTAGGTGCATTAGGAAATGCTAGGAGAGACTGAGGGCATTCAGGAGCCATGTGGGAGCACTTGGCATTTGAAGTTCTGAGAAAAGCTATTTACATATAATAACGGGCCCCTTATTAATACTGAACTAAAGGTAATCCCATTTCAAGTAAACCATAAACCAGGTTAGATTGTCCAGTGGCACAGCTCTTAGAATATACCGGCATGGGAACGGCCAGTGCCCTGTGTTAAAACGTCTCTAGAGGAGGGTCTGAGGGCCACTGTGTGGCCACCGTCCTGGCTCCCAGCTCTCACAGAGCCCTGCGGGAGCCTCAGATTCCTGGGTACGTAGCAGGGCAAGCAATGCCACAGTCTTTGCAGTCTCCTTGGTATCCCGTAGTGCAGCAGCAAGTTCAGCCAGAGTTCATGCTTCTGAAGTTTCTTAAACATTTTGCAAGTTACTTCAAAATGCGGATCTGTTTTTGAGCAAGTGACTTTTCAGTGCAAGAATCACTGGGGAAAGTCTGGATTTGCCAGGGATCCTATCTTACATGGCCAAACACGAGCAAAGGAGCAAGGAACAGCAAAATGAAAAGGGAAAGGTCAGAATATTGAGAAACCAGAAAAAGGAATATATTAGTGAGAAAAAGAATGTCCTTAGCAAAACTGCCAGACTTTGATTTCCGTGTGTGGGAAATCATTTTTCCACGTTTTCACTGTGGAGGTGGGTGTTAGCAGCACTGGAGGACTAAAGACAGAGAGTCTTCTGTTCTCCCTCGCACATTTGGATGACCTTGTGTCTGCCGTGGGGTCCGTGCTCGCCAGCAGTCGCAGGTCAGCACTGCTGAATTTGAGGCCGCCCTTGGAGGGCTCTCCCACGTTGTAGAGCTGCCCATGTTAGCACACGCATTAGGGTGTTTGTGTTTTTTTTGTGTTTGTTATAGCTTTCATTAGTACCTCCCGCAGAGGCCCTTATAATTAGCCAAAAGGATTCCTCCATACTGAATTTCTGCCTAGTAATTAACAGTAGGCTGTGAATATAAGGGCTCCATGTGAAGGTTTAGTGAGAAACCTGCATCATCCATCATAAAAATGAACTTTCTGGGTAAAAGGTGATTTAAAAAAAAAAAAAAGCCTTTAAAAACATACACAAAAGGCCTAGGATACAATGAAGAAAAAGTAGAAGCGAGAAACTTAGGTCTGTCTTTCTATAAATCTTACTCTGTTCCTAGTGTAGTGTCTAGAATGTTGCGCCTAGTGGTCTTTCGGAGAGTGTGATTCGGTTTCTAAGCCTTAGTAAAACCAACTGTTTGTCCTCCAAAAAGAAAAATTTCCTCTGGAATGCACACCCTTCACATTCAAGGGGGTAAAGAACATTGACTCTTATTTTTGTAAGACTTGAATAATAAAATGTAAGAAACTGAGATTTATTTTCAGCTCGTTCAGAAAGGCTTGCCTGTTTTCTGGGATTGAGTAGACATTACTTTCACCGTCAGTCCGCTACCTGTTTATGCACTTGAATGACAAGTAGGTGCCCATTTTTAACTAAATAGTATACATCTTTTGTGTTTTAACAGCTTCCTACCATCTGTGTGTATGGCACAAAAGGGCATAAGTTTTCACTCGGGCACTTGAATAATGAAAAGAACTGTGTCTAATTTACATGCAGGATATACTGTATCTAAAAATTTTCCAAAATTGTGACTTGATACCCTCAAAATGGAAGTACAGACATTTGATGTGTGTACAAGATCCTGTGTGCTGGTGCATCTAAACCAGCACTCAGCACAGCACGGGTACTCAGTAAATGTTAAAAGTAAATGTGAAAACCATTTTCACTCAAAATCATGACATCAAATGGTAGCTCACTCTTGGTACTCAGTGTCGGTAAACATGCGGTCGGCTCTTTGGTTCCCGTGGCTGGGTCTTCCCAGGAATTGTCTCCCTGTCTACAGTTAACTGAATTTTTATGTGCAACTTGGGAATTTAGAGCCCAGGGTGTTCTGCAACTCTGTTTTATCTGTGACTAGCCTTTCTCTTGAATGGATCTTACCCTAACTTCCTTATTCATAAACTTGCATTTGCAAAGCTGTCTGGGATTTCTGTAAACAATCAAGCTCTCTCCGTATCTCAATATTTCTCCCCACCAGAATTTATTGCCATGTACACTTACGAGAGTTCTGAGCAAGGCGATTTAACCTTTCAGCAAGGGGATGTGATTTTGGTTACCAAGAAAGATGGTGACTGGTGGACAGGAACAGTGGGCGACAAGTCTGGAGTCTTCCCTTCTAACTATGTGAGGCTTAAAGATTCAGAGGTAAACCCACATTCACTGTTTCCTCCCCCTTTCGGTGCGGTGATTCTCTTTGCAGGGAGTCACGATATTGGACGGTGGAACACTTTGATGGGTTTTGCTAAAGTTCTGGGACGTTGACAGCAAATACAGTGACCTGTAATTGTTTCAACTTGTCATTTGGTGCTGCAGGGTTCCCACAAGCAGAAGAACCCCCTGGGACTAAGTGGAGATTGCATATAAGGAGGCTGGTCTGCGTCACCTTGGTTAATGTTCAGTATTCATCTCTGTTCCTACATGTGACTGACTTAGGATTTGGAGTAAACATTCTTGATCAGGTCTTCACGAGCACTGATCTGGGGTACCCGAAGGAAAACAACACAGCAGTATTTTGCCCATGTCAACAAAAGAATGTGGGTGATACTGGCCCTAGAACATTGGGCAGTAGAGAGATTCCAAAATTTATATTTTGCCTACACATTAGGGAGACACAAGATCTAAGAGATCGATACACTTTTGGCTAAGCCTTAAGGTCTCAGACCCATTGATCAGGGCCTGAATATGTTCTAAATGCTGTTGTCCTTATAAATCAGAAATGGCTGCCATTGTTGTTACATGGGGCCCTAAAAATTCAGTTGCATAACAAGTGGTCTTGAAGTGGTGCGAGTTTAACGGAATGGGGTGGGCCTCCAGAGTACTGGAAGCCTAGCTTTGTAGGGGCCAATGTCAAGTTAGAGGAGAATTTCAGGGTAAACCAGTGTACTCATTTAACAGAGAGCCATTGCACATAAATAAACCAACAAGAACTGGCTTTCCCCTACCCCACCCCCTGCCCCCACCCCCACACCTGCTTTCTCAGGTGTAAGCCAGTGGACCGAGTTCCTCTCTCATTTGAATGCCAGTCTCAGGGTGTAAAATTGGGCTTGGTCCACAGGCCCCGTGTGTGCAACTGCTTTGGAAGCCAGGAGCCTGGCCCCACACTGCAGCCTGTTCATGGGCCTTCTTCCCTGCAGTTCCCAGGAGCACTTTGTATTTTGCTCGAGTTTTGTTTTTTCAGGGAGTGTCATTTTTGCTGTTTGGGGTTTTTTGTTTTTGTTTTGTTTTTTCTTGCTGTGGTCTTGAAAGCAGCTTATTGAAACACCCAGGAGGGGTTTGCAGGCATTTGCCTACCCCTGGAGAATATGGCAGAAGCCAGGTAGACAGTACTTCTGTCCAAGAGGACAGCCAGCGAATTGCCCTCCTCAGACCTGGAGAGGGGAGAATTAGGCTTTTCTCCAGGCTTCCAGTTGGATCCAATAAGAATCCTACAGATGGTATTTCAGGGGCACAGGGGAAAAAGTACAACTAAACTCAGTTTCTGTTACGAGGCATGAAGACTTTTCAAGTGACTACCTGTTGGTTCAATTAAAAGACAAAAGCCATTACTTATATTTTACTTTAGTAAATTATAGCCTCCAATAAAAAAAAAAAAACATCTGAAATCAATAAGTGAAAGAAAAAAAAACTGACATTTTTAAAGGTAAGCTGAGTCGTAAGGTGCTTTTTAACCACAGTCTTAAATTATGAGCCACAGAAGAACTAACAGCGCTAAAGATTTTGGACAAACATTGAGTGAGCTACATTATTTCATAATGATGAAAACATCGAAAAAGTCAGCTCTTTCATTTTCCTTGGACACGGAGTTCAGTGTATAAGGAAAATTTCCTGCTAAAACCAGACCCAGCCTCAGATACCAGAATTGCCCTCTGGGCATGGGAGTGTCTGTCCTATCCTGGCTTTTCCCTTCTCTGTAAGGGAAGGGCTGGGACACATGGCCTGGGGCGGCTTTTCTCCTGCATTCTTGAGGGGCGCCAGGACAGAACCTGATCTCCTGAGTTGTCTTAGCTTCTGTGCGGCTGTCATGTTAAACAAGGAGCGCACTGGGGCTCCCGTGGCTGGCTCAGTGGATAGAGCAAGTGGCTCTTGATCTTGGGGTCGTGAGTTCAAGCCCCACGGGTGGAGAGCCTACTTTAAAAAAAAGTGGGGGAGCACACTCAAGCTACTTGGACTCTATCATTGGGTGTTGCCAATTGCAATGTTCCTTTTATGGACTATGGAGAGCGTATTACAAGCCCGTACTGGGAAAGTAACTGGTCATTTGGAATCTTATTTCATTAATATTCCTTTATTTTGATACGCAGCGTATAAAAATAGGAAAGGAGATTGGTATTATACATCTTGATAATACAGAAATCATAATCAGTGTGAAACTTGTAACTCAAACTTTCCCCGGTAAACGGTTATTAAATTTCAATGACCCAAATAAAGAGACTATGATATGTTAGATAAATGACATGTTTTTATTCTTACAGTAACTGTCATTTACTTTATTAAGCCTTTTGTTTTGTTTTGTTTTGTTTTGTTTTGATTGGAAAACTTAATTTACTGGCAGATAGGGACTCGAGGACGAAAATCAATTCAGAATAAAGCACTTTGTAATGACAGATTACAGTCTGGCCCCTGTCCTGACTCGAGGTCTCTGTTGGCTTGTTCAGCTGGTTTAAAATTCCATGAGTATCCATAAAGGAATTCAACCCCAGAGCACTTTTGGAACAATTAGTAGTTGCAAAAAAAAAAAAAAA